AGAATCAATGACGCCAGAAGCCTTGTCACAACAGGCGTCAAGCTAACGCCTCTGTGGTTGCTACATTCACTGCGAGTACCCTTTTTGAAAACGGGTACTACTATCGATTCACCCCAGTTGTCTGGGACGGTCTCCTTCTCCCAGATAAACCCAAATAGGCTAAACAGGCACTGGCTCAGAAATCCACCACCATCCTTGAAAAGAGCAGGTGGAAGGTCGTCAGGACCAGCATCACGATGACGCTTGAGTAGAGAAATGCATTCGGACACTTCTGAGACTGAAGGCGGCTCCATGTTTACGGTCCACCTTTCTGTTGAAGGCCGGGTTTCTGGATTGGGGGTAGCAGGTGGCCAGCTGAATTTTGTTCGAAGTACTGTGCCCAGCGATCCAAACGTTCTGCTTTGCTGCATATCAGGGAGCCATTTTGGTCCTTGAGTGTTTCACTGACAAGAGGTTTCCGAGGACCAGTCGAACGAACCAAGTGGAACAATTTGCGCGCGTTTCCAGCATTCTTTGCATCTTCCATTTCTTCGACCTTTCGGGTCCACCAAGCTTCTCGGTCTGCGCGGACACTCAGAAATGTAGGTCATCGTAGGTCACACAACCATGACCTAAATTTCCAAATGTCCTCTCAGGTGACAAGACAATTGACCAAGGTGGTAAGGGTGAAACACAGGATCTGCTCGAAGTGTTAAAGATACTGGCATTGTATCACTTCGTAGACGGAAAATGTTGTGGTAGCTTCAGCTCACGGTCTTCGGAAAACGTATCCATTCATCATAATTCCAAAATTCAGCGTGAACACTCCGAAGTGAGAAAATCGTCTATACAGGACGGCCACCCGTCCCTAATCTAAGACGATAAGACGCATTGCAGCATAATAGACACAACTTCACACTGAGGCCGACTTCCGCTTTGATTTACGAGGTCCTGCTCATTTTCAGTTGATTTCCTCAGCACTATCCATGCAGAAAAATATCCATTCTTTTGCTTGTTCATTCCGTGAATGAAGGCACACAAGTGACGAAAACTTAGTGATACCCCAGTGGTTAAAGCGCGGTCCCACTCATCAGAATAATCACGGTTCTGACCTAACTCTAGTCTTTCTACAGTTCCTGTCTGGATTTAAGCACCTGGTAGTGTCCCAATTCTCGTTGTAGACAGTCAGAGCTGACGAAGTTTGCTATTATTATTAAAAGACCGCATTCCTGTTGACTAGAAAAATGGTCTGGGTGACCATGATTGTACTCAACAAGTGTTTAACTTCAAATTAGCAAGCGATTCGAAGACACTTGTAATTCTGAAACTATTGTTTCGAACAATAATGTGAGGAGAGCGATCGGAGTTCTCGGCTCATGTAATCAAGGTGATTGGATATTGAAAACGCCTTGGCAAAAACAGAGCAGCGCAAGCAACAGAACCAGACCCGGCCGCTCTTATTTTCCCCAATTAAATCAATTAAGTGTGCTCGCCCTAGAAAGAATGAAAATAATCATCCAGCTATAACCACTTTTAGGTATATAGGTGCCATCTGGAGAAAACATGAGGGTCGCGATACTGCCAGGTTGCCCGAGCCTAGACAGGAGCAATCAATATGCCAGAGTTAGATTATCACAGACCCTCGGGTCAGTAAGTTCACGCCTTAACCACTGAACTACCTCAAGCTCGTCCTTCAGTGGTAGGGGCTAATCAGGGAAAACGGTCAATCGGGAACGGTAGCAGCTTCCAGAGCACGTTGTGCATCTTTGGTGGATGCATTGACGGGAACACAAGCTTCAAATGTTCAGGACGAGAACTAGGCTGAGAAAATTGCGTTACTACAAAAACGCAAAACAAGTGTTTACTGGGACCGAATCAATGGTTGGCCACCTCTCTGCTTACACGACTCAGAATTGGGCATGGAAAACAGCACTCTCTTCGGCAAACGATGGTTCGGTATACGCAACACACGTCCCAACCAACGCAGCTTCTGGTGCTGGATACATTCTTCAATAGAAGTACCCGTTGCACAACCGAAAGCACGCTTTATAATTGCCACATTAAGAATTGCAGACACCAACCCACACGAGCCATGGCTCTGAGACGATGATTGTCGAACACCTGAAGGCGTCTCAGTTCCGCTGCTCGAATAGGGCCAGGTCTCAGCCATACAACAAACAGACCGTACTGTAGATTGTCACACAAGTCCCTTGAGATTCAGAGATAAAGCACTCTGATGCCATAGGTGTTTCAGATTGTCAAACGCGACCCCAGGTTATCAGATTCGTGCAGTAACTCCATATGTTGGAACCGATTGGAACCAATGCGACCTTCTGCACATGTACGGGGTGTCTCACAATAGACGCAAAAAATTATACCCAGTTAAAACTTCAAAACCAATTCAAACGTTTATCATTTTTTATGTGAACATATATGCATCATGGAGGTTTACTGTAAACAAACTGGCATTGCAAAAGATGTTGAAAGAAACCTCCCCTTTCTTCTATAACAAGTTGGAGGCAGTATGAGATGTGAAACACAGCATGTTCAACTTCTTCAAGCGTCACTCGTGCACACTCCTATTCAATTCTCGCTCTTAATGATACGGGTAGAGATGAAGATGGCGTCTCATAATACGATGCACGCTGGCGCGGGGAATGCCGGTCAACTGTGACACCTGAGTTATTGACGAAGATGCCATGGTGCTCTGGGACTGAAGTTGCTCGACGGCATTCTGTACAATGGACGCTCTTTCATCACTCAGAGACTTTCTCCCTTTGCCAGGAAGATCCAATACGGATCCAGTGGACTCAAATTTCGAAATCAAGCGTGTAATGGTCGACACGGCGAAAGGATCTTTGATGAGACCGTGTTTGGTTTTGTAACCAAGAAGTGCAGCGGTGGCGCTTTCACCAAGGGAATAATAGAGTTTCACTATTTCAATGCGCGTACTGACATCCATCGTAGACAGAAAAAACGCCAACATTCGCACACAAAACCTGCTTTATGTGGCTACCAATAAGGAAAGACTTCGTCGTCCTTCCTCTGATTGGCTACGTTTACTCACCCAATCAACTTTTGCGTTTATGAGGCACCCTGTACGATGCACCACAATTTCGGGTGCCTCTCCTTGGATTGTAAGGGGCGTGCACAGAAACTGCATGTCCAGGTGCACGATCTGAAACTTTGTGTGTGCAAAGTGCACACAAAAATGACGGGCTGACCTCGATGAGTTCATCCGAAAACATCAGCGCCCTCTTCTCATCTTCGAAGAGGCCAACAACATCGCCTGCATATTCCAGACAGACAATGTCTTCGT